CCATGCATCAGTTTAGCGCGCTATGAAATAATCGCTTGTTGCCAAACTATAAGCTTTAGGAAAAAACTAATTGTTTCAAAAATTTATGTAATGTTTAGGCTTCATTTTCTTCGCTGCATGTATATAAAAAAATCATAAATAAAAAAGTTTATCGGTTGGTGAAAATTGTATTACACAAAATTTAAATTTCAAGTTTTCCTGATGTTTAGCGAAATGAAAAGGAGAGTTTTATAAAATCCATTAGTACTGTTAAAAGCGCTATTGTGTCTGCTTTAATTAAAAAAAATTACTCTGATAGTACAATTATTTTTTGATATATAACGGTGGAGACCTTAAAAAACTTATTCTCATAAAAATAGATTTTTTTTTATTTTTTCGAAATTAAAAAGATCCCGACCAACAAAAAATGTAAAAAGTGGTTTCGTGTACACGATCACCTAATTAAGAAATCGCGCCAAGTCTGGTTTGGTTCTACGCCAGTTTTTTTTATCTCGATAACTAAGCGACTTGGCGTTGCAATTTTGCTCGTCTAATAGACATTAGCATGAACGACGTTGGAAAGGGCTATGAAGGCAGGCTAAGAATTGTGGTAGATGATTTAAAAAATAATAGTCCTGTTGAGACGTTTGAAAAATTGTTCGATCAAAATATAATCAAAATGTTCGTCGATCAATCGAATATGTATGCGGCGCAAAAGAATAACCATACATTTGTGGCAACTGAGGATGAAATCAAAATATTTATCGGTATATTACTCATCAGGGGTTATCACAAACAACCTCGTGAAGCTATGTATTGATGTGTTGATGAGGACGTATCCATACTGATGGTGGCTTCCAGTATGTCTAGGAATCGTTTCCAGGAAATAAAGCCATACATCCATTTTGCAGACAATACTAAACTGAACAAAAATGATAGTGTATAAGAGTAGATATACTATAGGTGGACGGACCCAAAATCTCATGTATTTTCTTATGGAAGTTTATTTTGCAAATTTTTGACCAATTTTACCCCCGACCGGGAAACGTAGTCAGTGGATGACTTCATTTTTGGCGAAGAATTAATAATTTAAAAAAAAAAGCTATGTCAGCTGTGAGGATCGAGCCCCGGTTCTTCAGATTGCGAGACAATCGCACAACCCACTAGACCACAACGCTCATCTATCGGAGTTGCGATATATTTGGTAGGTATGCAGGAGACGCGGAAGCGTTCGATGGGCGGGGATGGGGAAGCGGGCGGCCGGTGGAGGCCTGCGATGCTGGAAGCCTGCGGCGGTCAGCGGGGTGCCGGCGTACGAGNACCAATTTTATAAATAATACCTATAGTTTACGCCCTTGAATAAATAGGTATGTCACCAAACTCAAATAGGCGGAAAAACAAATTAAAACAGCTCTCAAAATTCGCTAGTTTTTTTACCTTAGTTGTATACCAAATAGGTAGGTAAGGTACCTTTTGAAATTAATAAAATTGATAAAAATTTGACTACTCCACACGAAGACAACGCGACGCGGCGATCTGATATTACGCAGACCATAGGCGATAAACAGTCTAATGCGAGAGCCAGGTGTGCAAGAATGTGACCTGTTTGTTTAAAAAAAATTGCGGTCGTCATACTGTAAGTTGCACATAAAAAAATTATGATTTTAAAAACATTTCTCATGTATTGGCTTTATTTTGTTCGCAGTATACATACAAATTTTCACACATAAAAGTTTTTCTCGATCGCTGAAAAATACATTCACCAAAATAAAAGGCTTAAATTTGTTATTATTTTAACAAATCAGATATATATATTATATACATATTCGCGTGATACGTCTGATTGCAAAATACAGGTAAGATCAATGTTTTGAAACATAGCATATGATTTACGACAGTCTATAAGGTATTTTATTTTAATTTCGCCATTTAAAATATTGTTTTTTTTT